GTAGACAACAAATAGGCGAAAGGGCCATCACTTAAAGTTAGGGCTCTCGCTAAAAAATGGGAGTGAGTCAACACTGAAAATGAAGGCCCCCAAAGTTGCTGTGCCTGGCTTCGCGAATACCCCTACCGATAGCAGCAAGGTCCATGCCGGGGAACAATCCACACCGGTCAGCCCGAGTTCGAGATCCACATTAGCAAATGAGGCTGAAACTGTATCTAAGGGCTACCGGCACCGATAAGATCGAGATCCTTCCCTATTCGTTCAGAAGTCATAAGCATGAAGTTCAGACAGTTCAGGCGCCAAAGGCGATCACGACCTGGACTCCTCTAATAGTGTTCTGAGCCATCTGTTCCCTCCAGATGAAGAATTTTTAGTACTGAAATCATTTCGGATCGACAAAAGGCCTGAAGATACCGCAGATATGCCGTGACCAAGACATTTCAACATTGTACTGAAAAACAAGGAACATGTCCAGCTGACCCTGTCTATAAAAACAAACTTTCGTCGCTCGAATAAAGAGTTTTTTTTTTCAACCGGACTATTCCCCGGCGGAACAACTGAAACACCGAGAACTAGTAGCGGAATTAGAGGTGAGGAAAAAGAATGGCGAGACAGGCTTGGAAGGCTTCAATCGGAAGATAATTCGAAAGAATACAACGTTTTTCTTAATAAGTTGTATATTTCAGGCCCATTGGGCCTCATCAATAAACCAAAAATTCTATAACAGGAAGTTCTAGGAATAATTGGTTTAACAAACAGTATCGGTAGTCCATAGCTATGTTACGAGTGCAACTGTTTAGGAGCGAATTTAGTAGATTCAAAAAAATGCATATAGCAATGTCATGCGGAAAGTGAAATTCAAAAGCATACACAGACGGGCCACATCTTTATTCATATTTTAACCATGTATCCTGATAACCACTGCCTCTATTAGTAGCGGGGGGCTTGGAAGCAAACTCAGCCGAAGCTGAGCGTGGAGTAGAGCAATTGGTGTTAACGAAACATTGCTGGTATAGACGGGTTCCCGGCACTACACTCGGG